TTGTATTTTTTTGGTAAAAATTTCAACAAAATAGCTTTATTTCAAGTCTTATGTTTAAGCTGTCAGCTTGATACACACTAATGTATACACTTATGATTAATTGTTTGTCTTTTTCTTAAGCTGAAATAAGACTAGGTTTGTTTTTGAACTTAAATGGTAGCCTGATTTTCTCGTTGTCTGTGCGTAGTAGATGTTAACCTCATTTACATGTATATATACGACCGTTACAAGCGCTGACACGACCTTGGAAAGGGTAAAGATCGCGTCTTTTTCAACGTTATTTGTACAAGCACAGTTCTATTTTTGTTTTATGACTGTTTTGGTGGGGACTACATGTAACAACAAAACGAGTTTTATGAGGAAATGATTCCTATAATGTCTGTTCTTAAGTGTACACATGTCAAACTTTGTTCTTAAATTTGTATTAGGGTTCGGGTTAGCAGGGACAAGATCAGCGCAATAAGAGAATATTCACTTTTTAAAAAAAATCTTACTGAGTCTATCACATTTGGGTATGAGGGGTATGGAAGTTATACCGGAGAGCATTAGAATTAAGTTCAGAACCAGGCTTGTAAAAATATATATTTGATAGAGCGGAGAAGTACGGCATACCAAGGGTGTACATGTATTTAGAAAAATTAGAACAATGTAAATACTTCACAACAAGTTAGTTTAATGTCAGTTGCTGACTTTGTTTTGGTGGAAGATATTCCTTTGCCGATCATTGGCACTAAAACTGTTTGTTTTCAATATACTTGGTTGTCAGGATTTACAAAAATGAAAATCCTGAACTGAAGGTCATCAGGTACGCCTATGTGGGATTAAAAGGGTGTCATAACACGAATTTTCCAACCAACGAGCGTTGGGGTTGTTACCCTTTCTCCAAACGTCACTGGTGCATTCCCTAACTCACACACACTTTCATCCTGAAAACGTCACCATCGCATCATCAGTTTATGCGGTTTAATCAGGGAAGCGTCATCAAGTCTGTCACACATTTCATGATGATGACGTTGATGATGATGAGGCAGTGCTTTGTATTCCCTGTTTCATGTAACTATGACGGTAGAAAATGTGAAAGAAAAATAATCAATCACTCGCGTGTGGTGCAGACAGAGAAATGTCAACATACGAGATAAGATTTTTGAAGTTTAACACTCGGCCGAGCCTCGCGTTTAACTTAAAAATATTACACTCGGGTCGAGATTTTCCTGACTATATCACAAAGGATTAATCATTTCTATTTTATCAGACAGAATTGGGGTACATGTATCACTCGCTTTCTCTAATACCCACTGGTCGTGTTATATACCTCCTCACGTGGATGATTGTTGAAATGACGTCATGCGATTGGTTTTGACTGGGGAATTCCCTCGTTTCAACCCTAGGCATGTTTGCTCACTTGAAACTATCCCCAATGAGATCCTCACAGGAAGGATTCTATTAATCTCACAGTGTTGTCCAATATGGAACATGGACATCCTCAAAACGAAGATAGTGTTCACGAAGGTATTTCGTATATGTTGGGATGATGGGATTAGTTCTGTAAGTGTTTATCAAAGTAATGTAAAATACAACAACAATGAATTGTTGTTTTATCTTTGTTATTCGGTGATGAAAGGGCAAACAGACCTCTTCTTTCATCTCTGTATATTCATGGTGCTACATGCTATATTCGCTGGGTGTTTATTTTCGCGCTATCTTTAAAGGATGCAAATATAGCAAAGTTAAATCTCTCTCGAAAATTATCATCTTTACCGTAGGTGCTGGGTATATATTGTTTAGTGCTCATCTTCCAGTATGTTTAATACCTCTTCCTCCCCGAGATGTGCGATACAGACATGTGGTATTGCTTATATAAATATGTAAGTCAGGAAAAATAAGCTATCACATGACAGAGTGAATGACCTCAATTGTATGCTTAGTATTCTCCCCTGGTTGGTTTAAAAATATATAATGTTGACTCGAGTGGGTCTGTTCGTTTATGCAGGTACGACCGTTTTTAAATGTAACATTTTCGGGTATAAATCCGAGCAGAACTGCAAATGTTTATGCATGCCTTACAAGGCTTTGTCAAGGCTCGCCTGAAAGCAGCATCAGATGACTGGGTCCGACGTTATTTTATAAACGAACAACTCTGGTCCAACGGGTTCAACCGTTTGGATCGCGATAAACGAAAACGGCCTAGAGACAGTCCTGGCAGTGGTTTTTGCCAGAGAGGCCCAGCAGCGCCCCCTGATTTGTGGGTCGGTGAGATAGAGTGTACTCTATCCCAGATGGGGAGGAGACGTACCTGACAGCCTCCAGACGTCCTTACCACGGGGTCCGAATCAAACAATACGTCACATCTCCAACGGTGACACGTGCTGCTGTGAGACTACCACATCACGTGATTTTTTCCTCTTCGGAAGACAAACCATGACATATGTGCAAGTTTTACAGCCAGAGATACCGAAATAAAGTATAGACTTAGAAAGCGTCTAAAAAAAAATAAAAAAATGCCCGCCTTATCAAGAATAAGTTCTGCTGAACTTTTTGACTTTCAATGCATACAAATGTAAAACAATTTCTTAAATTTAATTTTCATCACATTTTTAAGACATGAAACATTTCATATTACTCCTTTTGTTTAAAATTAGAAATTACAGAACGTGTTTTCAATTGAATTGTCGGGCAGGTGATCCCATACCTTTTCACGTCCGATCGCGCGATCAGGTAATCGAACCCTGGCGTTCTTGACGAAAGGCGGCGAGTTCGCTATCCCCTGCGCCACAAGACCAAAGTTAAATATCTACAGTAAATAAACGGTTAAGCACTTCCTATGTTTAACTGTCTAGATCATGGTCATACAAAATTGATGTCTCGTTGGTTGGAAGCAATTTACTCTCCAAAGATCTTTCACAATTTGTTACTACATTGAACAATGTCACACTCGACCCGTGATACCATTTTCATTCATGCAGAATACCAATTACCACGTTTACAGCTAAACCCAATGTGAGAGTGTATTTAATCCAGCGATTACCTAATCAACATCTGCAGCATTCAGTTAATCATGAATTGTAGAAAAAATACTGAGCAAATACCGTTTTGTTTCCAAGAAGTTTCTTGGCAGCGGAAATCGAATATCTCGGTGCTAACGTTCCGCGATCTAACAAGGCGAGTGTCTTCCTCATCGTATTGCGCTTATTTTATTAAACGTGTCAGAAATTGATAGGTCGGTTGTTCATCATATATGTTCACAAACAAAACCGGCAAGATTTTGATAACTAGCTAAGCATATTGCTATTTTCGTAATTAGTTTTCTGGCGCAATGAGCGAACATTTCACCATCCATAAGAGTCCAGATCCATTCCCTTCAAGACCGTAATGAAAAATAACCTTCGACAGCGCCCCTCGTCTATCATACCATCCATTTTACAACGAAATCGATGCTTTCTTTCCTCCTTTGTTTGGAGAGTTCCTAATTGCATGTCGAGGTCATATGTCACAGTTAAGCAGTGGAGATTCGTATAGTAATATATCTGTATTTGTCATCGGGGACTAAATGGTCTGTCGCCGAGACATTAAAAAGCTTGACGTATGATTGGGGGTTCGTTCCTATGATACATTGGCAAATATTGCCATTCTTACTAATGGATTCTGGGCACCGAATGCATTACTCGGGCCGGAATTCTGGTCAGTCGCTATGCACTATAGTACGGTATTGCCTGCTCAAAGCCTTTACCGTACATATACTAAACACAATATCGTTTCTTCATTGTGCACAGGTATTGACAAATTGACACACGTGTCTGTTTCATATTATAAAAGTATTTTATTTCGAGTCATTATATGTCTTATTTTATCGATACAATTACATTACAGCAAATTAAAAAAATGAAATAAAAACATTGCGAATAAAGTGAAATTGAAAAGATATTACAAGGTGCATGCTTTTGGCACGACATTGTAATATTAGTTTTTCCATTGCATGAGCGCTAGGGATATTATTCACAATTAACCGACGAAACGGATCCTTTTTATCAATAGAGAGAATCTATTTAGGTGCAAACTCATTCCTTTAATGTATTAATTAGTTTTAAGGAAGATAGAATAGTGACAATGTGAGGGACACGTGATCAAATGCGTTTAACTTGGAGGACGAACACCTTGTGTAAAGCTAACATAGAAAAGTTTAGTTATCTTGACATATGATTACATAACATGAAACCCAAGTGATAATTAGGGTTGCATTAATTTTGTTCTATTATTAAAATACAATGTATTGTGTCTAAGCAGCCGAAAAAACACTTGAATTACTGTAATTGTAACTCTATGGGCTAAATTAATTACTTTGTTGAAAGGCTATACTAGAGACTCTACGGGTTGAAAAACTGAACCTATGGGCTAAAATATACTCTATATGGGTTGTAACAGAGACTGTGATAATAACCATGGATTGTACGTACCAGAGACCACGTTGTCTGTTATACTCACTCTATGAACAGTTATAAACCCTGAATGAAATGAAAGGAAACAGAGAATATTTGGCCTGAAATACTAGGCTATATGGAATGTAAGACTGACTCTATGGGCAGAGCTGCAAAAGAGACTTAATGGTCTGAAATACTGAATATTTTAGCTGTGATATTGCAGTGATTGGGGCGCTATGTGCTATAACACAGACATACAGTGTACATTACGGCATTTATTAGACACGCTATAGGTTGTGACACCATTGTTTGTAGGAATGACTCTATGAGGTCGTAATAGAGACTCCGTGAGCTTTAATTGAGAAGTATATGAGCTGCAATGTTGTTCCTACAGTGAATAAAGCTGAGGTTATTTTGACTGTAATAGAGACTAATAGCTGTGACAAACCTCCATGAGCAGAAATATTGACTCTATGGGCCGCAAAACAAACTTTATTTATGGGCGTCGTGGACGTCGCACGTTAGGGCACTATTTAAACACAGACATAACACGCAAGTAATAATGTTTTTCTATTTATTTTTCAGCTCAAACCTTAGAGCCGAACTTCGATGTCCCGATAGTGAATGTAACTGCTATAGCAGGGAAGACCGCTATATTACCATGTTCTGTCCAGGCTCTCGGAGGTCACAAGGTAAGTGGAATGCTCACGCTGTACACGTCACATAACACGTCACATGTACACGTCACATGAGTCATAACATGATACGTCACCTCACTCATAGGTCTAATGTGGGTTTTTTTAAGAAGCCATTTTGTTGGATTTAAATGTTTGTTACTAGCTTCCGTTTTCTTGCTGTGAATTCCGTTTTGTCGGTTTCAAATCTACATTTTTGTTAAAAGAAACCATTTTCGTCGATATACTGTCTCATGTTTTATAAAAAGTTTCGTTTTGAAGATAGGCATTTCACCTATTATTTACTAGATAAAGTGCTTGTTGATATTCAGTCCACACGTTCGTTAAAGGAAGTTATTTTGTCAGGATCAATTCCACATTGTTTTCAATATGTATAATTTTGTTGGTACAGGTATATTACTCATCTAAAAATCAAATGTCCATGCACTTCACTCCGAGCTGCGAGTACTTGTACGAGAGCCGATAGCAATAATGGCGAAAATTGGAACAGTATACTCCCGTCATTCGGCAAGAAGTATAACAACTTCTCTTTTCATTTCTGTATTAGAAACAGCTACTTGTCTTGTATTAGAAAGTACTGCACGTTCGAAAGGACTTTCATTATACAATAAACCCAGAACAAGCCCCCATCGATCGAAACCGCAAATAATTAATAGATTTCTTAGATTGACGACATAATATCCAATTATGGTTTAATGAGAATGCCATTATTTCTCATTAGGACATGTTGCTGTAGTCAGCTGATGGGAAAACATATGACTGTAGTTAAAACGTAATTTAATGGGGACAACGTTTTCCAAATGTTTGAAATATAGCATGGTTTGCTAAACTCACAAATGAGCATATTGTAGGATAATCGAAAATATATTATAGTATCTATAGGAATAAAGGTTACCGTACGAGCGCTGGTTGGTTAAAATGTTTTTTTAAATTGCATGAAGACATGAGGTTTAGTGAATGTCTTTCATAATTTGAAAGTCAACTAATTGGAGTAATTTCTTCTATAACGTTCATATTTTATCTTGAAAACCAAATATTTCTTCTGAAAATTCCCAATTTCTGGTTTTAATCAGTGAATCTATTTCCATAAATTATGACGTCACAATGGAACACGCCGGCGCAAAGCATTTTAACTTGACATCATAATTGCAAGATATTGATCAAAGAAGTTATTTTCAAGATGTAACCCATTGGATGGTTACCAAACAACGTTTACCAACCGATAGAATGTTTTTATAGTATTTATGGGGAAAATATGGATAATTGTGGTATTTTATCATAAAAAAAGACAACTGAGGACGCGAAAAAACAAGGGCAGTGACACCCTTACCACAACATACGAAAACCCCAGATGTCAAAGATGATTGGGTGTTTCCACCACCACATGTGGTTTCTGTAAAGTCCTTTTCTGTCAAATCCAGAATATGTACACTGTGTATCAAATAAGCCGTCTTCTTGTTCTTCTACCGCGTAAATCTAGGTCAAATCCTTGATTCATTCAAATTTTGTACTATCCTTAATCACTGTAAATATAGCGAAGTTAAATTTCCCGCGAAAATTACCAACTATACAGTATTTAATCACGATTTATCGTCATTTTTTTGGATATTATATAATTAGCTGTCGAGTGTAAATTAAATCCGGACTGGTTTTTTTGCAGACGCAATGTAAGCACCTGTATACCTGTACTTTGACTTAATTCAAAAGCAAGCTTAGGTTTGTGAGACCCACTTATGATGGAAACATAAATCATGATCATTATGACTCTTAACACGAACGGGGTTATGATTTCTTTTGTCACCAATCATAGTCATTGTTTCTCTTAAAGCGAATCAGGGTCATCGTTTCTCTTAGCACATACCACGATAATGATATATCTAAGTAAACCAAGGCCCAACATACCATTTAGCGTGAGGTATATCAGGATACTATGCGTTTGATTTAAATTAAGAAATAAAATACGCAATAAATCTTACCAATTTATTAAAGCCTGGTTACTGATGCCATATTTAGAGTGAGATCCATCATTGAATGCGATACTATAGTTCAATACACTGGCCAGGCTGAGGATGTTAAATATCGGAGGAATTTGTCAATAGCTTGCAGACCCATCAATTATCAATTACACTGAAGTATTTAATGAGGCAATGATTAAATAGTTGTGATAGCTTCCATGAAAATTCCACATGTTGTAAATTGAACCACACTAAACTCTTTTCTATGTAAATGGTGTAGAAACCCCCGATCTAGGGTCGAAATCCGGCATATAAAATACAAACCTATCAGAACGCGGTATCTAATGATACGTAAATCTCGCAACATTATTCTCAATTTGACAAAAATCATTCAATTACGGTGCTAATGTTGTATTTGAAGTCAGCGATGATATCACACGAATAAATCAATGTGTGCCCCTTTATCGAATTACAATATTTCAGGCCAGTTTTTGGAAAGGGTAATTGATAAAAGAAGCTACAAATATAGAAAACAAATTATTCGCTGTTTTCGCTCAGGCCCAAGCCCTGTTCCTCGTCAGAAAACGGTTTCCACGTATTACTCCGACATGTAACGTTGTCAGCCTTGCCTTGTAGTTTTATCACGTTGCGAGATCAGGGCCTTAATAAAATAAATTGCTTCTGATATATGGCTCTATTTGCAAACACCGTTTCGTTAAAGATTTAACAAATTTGCCCCAAAGCGTTGAATTATATTATGCAACATTCGGCTATAGCAAGACCTGTAGGTTGTAGGGTTTTAACTCCAGAATTGTTTTTTTGCGCTTCATTGCTAAATTGTAACCCTCACGTTTAGTTGATTTTCCAAGTGAAACATTCGCAAAGCTTCCTATAATCAAATTTGAAATTTTCGGTGACGAACACAAGACGGCACAGTGCTAGAAAAGATTTTGAGATATGAAACATTTTGGTGTTTGCCGCCATTCAGTGAGATGGTAATGGATATGCGTCGTAAATCAATTGTTCGTACGGTTAACTATGGCTATTGCCAAAGGTATTTGTGTCCTGTATACCTATTTCTTTTTGTCCTAAATGTAGCGTATTTGTCCTAAATGTGTGTATGCTTAGAAACTACATGCAGCAAGTCCGTACCGTATTTAACTGAAAAAGCATATCTGTTAAAAAACTACCAAGGTCGTAAGACATCTACTTAGGTGCCAGTAGGACTCTCATCTTGGAAAACAATTACATCGTCCCTGCTATGCACATGCACTTAGCTGCTCTGTACCGTGCGTTATATAATATCACCCCTGTTACATGGAAGTAATTGGGACTAACTGCTCCGTACCGTAAAGCACCTAAACATCGCCCAATCTAGGTATATGTATATATAATTAGCTGCTCTGTACCGCCCAGCTCATAAACATTGCCCTTGCTAGGTACATGTTATTAGCTGCTCCGTACCGTACGTTACCTAAAAATCACCCCTGATAAGTGCTTGAAACTGGCTGCTCCGTACCGTAAAGCACTACACATTTAACTTTCTAGGAACAAGTAATTAGTTGTTCCGTACTATACAGCTGCTAATCATCACCCCTGCTAGGTTAACATTCTGTACATTCGTGTTTCGTACCGTACAACTCCTAAACATCGCCACTACTAAGTAAACATCTCCAGTACCATGAAGCACCGAAACATCGCCCAATCTAGGTACATGTGCATGTAATAAGCTGCTCCGTACCGCACATCCCCTAAACATTACCCTTGCTATGTACATGAAGTTACTTTGCTGTTTCTCGCCGTAAAACTGTTAAATGTCGCCCCTGCAAAGTAATGAGCTCGTCTGTACCGTAAAACACCTAAACATCGCCCCATCTAGGTTCATGTTATAAGCTGCTCCGTACCGCACAGCTCCTAAACATAACCCTTGCTAGGTACATGCAGTTATTTTTTTACTTCGCTGTTTCTCGCCATAGAACTGCTAAATGTTCCCCCTGCAAAGTAATTAGCTCGCCAGTACCGTAAAACACTTACAAATCGCCAATGCTAATTGATCAGCTGATCCAGCGTTTATCGCATCTGACACTTGGCAGCTGTATGCTATGATTAATCTGTTGAGAAAAAGGTAACTGAATGTAAAAACTGTATACAATATACCATAGACAATGTAGGAATTGCTTTACAGTATAAACCGGATAAAGTTTATTATAATTTCAAATAACAAATTCCCCTAGTGTCGGAACATGTTTCTGTAAACGGCCCATTTGGCATTTTAAAGGACATGTAAGTCAGTTTACCACGGATAAGTATTTTGAGAAAATGGCCTTCCTCTAAAATATCAATATAACTGGCGGAACAGAAAGGCGGTTTGAGGCTTCATGCTAACACATTCCAAGGCTGAAAGTATCGATTTTAATTAAAAACAAGTACGTTTCAGTTACCTTTATTCGGTTTTACGTACAGAAGACATTCATCATAAATACACTGTATATATTGTAAAGCACTGGAGGCTGTAAATTGTAAGTACCATGGTATTGTCTCACCACGCAGTTACATGTACTTGTGAGAGAAAAACAGAATTCCGAAAATATTGTTTGGCGCGATGGGTAACGCTTCCACTGGCATAAGGAATCTTGTTTGTGTAGGTGTTCTATAAATGACCAACGAAATTAAATCGATTCATGATATCAATTAATCTTCTACCTTTTAACCATTTTCTAGGTCGAATGATGCTTTTTGAAAGCCTTTCAGAATTTTGATATTGTTCTGAGTCGAAAAATGCGTTAATCATTTGAATTAATAAAATATGCACGGTCCATGGACTTAGTAAATTCTGATACAGGTTTTCTATGTTTTATAAACGTTTCTAAGTGACTCATACTGTGGTGTAGTATAAATAATTAACAGTTAAAATGCGTCCTACTAAAAACGTGTACAATTTGTATTAGTTATTTTTATTCAACAAAACATATTAATTATCACATGTTTTTGAAAGATTCAACCAGGATCAATTAAGAAATACAACGATCGTCGTTTATTTTG